AGGGCCCCATTACCTTCAGTAGCTTAGGGCCACATCAAACCTAAATCCAGCCCTGCTAGAGACTGTGGTAATAACTGGTGTCAATCAGTCTAGCTGAGCAATGCAAGCTGAGCAATGTTTAAGGGACATGGTGACAGAAGGAGGCCTCTTGCAGCATAAACCTCTTTGAACTTTGGGTGAGTCAACTTGCATTGAAAGCCTTTCCTTCATGACACAGTTCCAGAGATACCCTTGTTCACCTGGACAGCATATGTACTAAGTCTTATGTCAACAGACAAGCAGGAATGAGTTTTCCACAACTCCTCAAAGAGGTGATCTGTTCGCTTCCTTGAGCAGAAACTTAGTACTTCCCTGATAACCCAGAATCTAAGGAGAGGGCTTCTGGAAGACTTTTCAGGAAGGAGGTCTGGTTCTTATTTCCAGAACAATCAAGAGAATTGGGGATCAGAAGACACATATCATCTTATTGCCCCCCATTTGCTACAGGTTTCAGACTCTCAATCCATGATCTCTTCTGGAAATTCTGGATTGCTGCATGACATGCCTCCTCCTACATCCTCACCTACAACTGCCTGGAGGTTGAAAGGCAGACTCTTCCAGCCCCGAGCTGCCATCCCAGAGTAACTTCCACTCTTTTAGTCTCATGCAAATCTCCCACCTGGGTACCAATAATACTTTGGTATCTACCCCCTTATACATGATTTAAAAATAAACCTAACAGAATAGAAGGGCCTTTTAAAATGCTGTGACAAGTCAGACACAGCAGCCCTTGAGCTTCCAGACCTTCATATAAATTTCTTGAAAAGATGGATTTCTGCTCTTTCCAGCATAACTGCAAGTTTCTGGAGGACATCCCATTTCTTCTAATACCTGCAAACTTCCTATCTGATATCTCCACCTCCAGTTCGCTGTATGCCTTCTTGGAGTCTAAATGTGGTTTTCAAAGTTCCTCCTTGGAGCTTATTTAAACCCCTTGAAGCTGCTTCCCTTAATTTACTCACCCTCAAAACAAACTTGCTACTGACCATAAACCTCAGCACACTGGGTTTTTGAGATTTGGGCCTTTTCTGTAGAGCTTGAACTATGTATTCCCAAAATGACAAGAATTATCCCGTGTTCTTACCCTTCAAGTTAACATTAATTTGACCTATCATGGAGCAGGGGATTGATCTTGCCATTCTTTAGCTCTTATCTCCCAAAGAACAAGCACCACATTTCAGGAAAGAACGTCCCTGGATGAAATGTTCAAAACAGCTTCTTGGGTCTCTGTAGACAGGCCACTACAGGACTGAAACATATGCCACTATTTAAGGCAGTTTCCTAAAGCAGGATCCTTAACAACCTGTATATCCTAGGGCTCAGAATACGTGGGGGTATTTGGATACCAAGTTCTCCCTTCCAGGGATGTACAGTGGTACCTCGGTTTTTTAACGTCTCCGTTGACAAATGTTTTGGAACTCGAACGCCGTAAACCCAGAAGTAAATGCTTCGATTTTCGAACACGCCTTGGAAGTCAAACATGCCACACAACTTTGATATTGTGTTTTCCTTATTGAGACTTTCGTTTTGAGTTTTTGAATGTTTCGGAACTCGAACGGTCTTCTGGAACAGATTACGTTCGAAAACCAAGGTATCACTGTACTACTTTTTAAAAATACCAGTCAGAAGTGTCTTCCTGCCCATGTGGGGAGAAAGTATTATTTTTACCCTGATGAACATTTATTCTCATGGGTAAGACATCTGCCCATCTCTACATTTACTCCAGTTACTATGAATCTTATATTTTCCAGATTTTTTTGATTTTTTGGAGAGTGGGAGTTATTTTGCTCTCTCTGTTCCAATTAATATGATCTGTTGGTTTCATTTCTTCCCATTCTATGGTGGTGGTTCTTCTTTCTAGCTCTTTCTGTTGCAGATGCTTTTTCTTTAAAATGCTATGTAATTGAGTATATGGTGAGCATTTCTCACCTTACAGGAAGTGACTTTTTAGCTCTGTTTTCAGTCCCAGAGGCAGGACCTAACTGAATCCGGAATGTCCTCTGCCCCTACCTGCATTCTCATCAGGTAAGAACTGCATTCCTCCACCATCCAAGACTTATCTCTGCTGTTTAACATTGTTGTAAAATTATTGAGATTGCATATGTCAGGAGTAGGCAACCTTTTCTGACTAGTGGGGCAGATCCTAATCTCCTCACCCATGGTGGGACAAATCTGACAGGGCAGGGCGAGAGCACCTACCTGTCATTCACCTGGTGCCATAGTGATGTCAGGTGGTGCTATATTTTGAGGCCCTTGTTGTCGCAACTTCAAAGTACTGTACAATGCAGGGCAGTTTTTTAAAGGGCTTTCAAACAGCCCTGCGCTGTTCTTTGAACTTTGGGTTTTTTGGAGGTTCAAAGAGCAATGCTGGGAGATAGAAGTAGCTTCCAGTGTCCATCAGCTGTTGAGTAGAAGCAGGCCTTACTCTAGCAAAGGAATGATCTGGAGCTCACTTTAAGCTACTGATAGTTCCTTTTCAAAAATGTATTTATTAAACACTGAATTTTTATACATAGTTCTTTTTGAAGCCCTGCCCTTATCCACCCCACACCTGACAACATGTGTAGAGACTGTGTGTAGGGCAGGTGGGTGTAACACCCGCAAAATGGCCCAGCAAGCCACATCTTGGATGATGTGGGTGCAGGTGGGTGAAGAAAGTTCCATATAAATATTAAAGATTGTGAAAATTACTTACATAAAATGAGTTTAAGTGGGAAGGTGGCTGTGAAGATGTGTGACCATGAATTCCTGGAAGCTGCTCCATGAGTTAAGAGAACTCATGTTAGGCAATGTGCTGCAAGCTGGGGGGCAGCAGCAATATTGGGCAGCAGCCCTAAACAACAGGTGGTTTCTACACTCATCTGTAATATGGAAATAACACAGGCTTGCTTCATAAGGTTGCTGTGTGTAGTGTGTTCATTTAGAAGAGTTCATCTTGCCTGTCTCGTAGGGATTCACCACTAGCGTAGCATAAACCATACAAGGCACTCTGGCATGCGTTAAAATAATTGGTAAGTGATTTGATGACGTTTTGTGGTACTTCAGTTTAAAAATCAAGAGAATTTATGAGGTTCAGTGTCCTGAGTCCATGTTTTTGTGCTGTGGTGGTGCAGGGAACACACAGCACATGTATTTTTGTGGTGCAAACTGTGGGCAGGAATGTGATCTGATGATAGTTTAGGTAGAATCCATGTGGATACGTGGAGTGGATTGACATTTCTGCCTCATAGTGGTGCTGTGAAGCCCTGGATCTGTATCCCCCCCCCCATTTCATGATGCCTTTTGGGGAAGCCTATACAGGAAAAAACCATGCCAATTCATGTATGTGTGCATGAACCCCTCGCTTTTGCACCAGGATGGCTCTGCAATTTTCACAGTTCAGCTGATGAACGTTGATGCAAAGTGCAATTTAGCAGTTTTTTCGGGGGGGGGGGCCTGCCATGTAAAGACCACGTGCTGATTCTTGGTTTTGCGCCACGGCACCGGGTGTGGCAATTTTCCTGGCTGAGGGTGTAGCTTTGCCACCTGCAGTTTGATGGTGGAGGGGGGAGGGCGGTGAGTGTCCCACCCCATGGAAAGATGCCGACAGTATTTTTAGGAACGTGGCAGTTATTGAAATCCAGATCATCTCCCTCCTTCTTTTCAGCGTTATTCCACTCCTTTTTCCTCAGAGCCCTCGCTGAGGCGTTCGCACCTCAGGTCAAGCGCGGGCTTACGTTTGCGCGTTTTCCTTTCACTCCAGAGGCCTACAAAGCGGGCGAATACGACGAAAAAAAAATATATTTGGCGGGGGGGGGATGTAGAACTGGCCACGAATTCTTGGGGTGCGTGGGGTTAAATATCTCCTCAGCTTCGCCAGGAACCATTACGCCGCGTCGAAGCCAGGAGAGGAGGAACGGCGGCGGCGGCACTTCCCCCCGGCTGCTTCCAGCTCACTTCCCCTTGTCTCTCCCTCACACACGCAGCGCCCCCACCCCAAGTTGTTAACGATCCGAGCCACCTCAGAGGGCGGCAGCCCAGTTGGGGCGCGCGCTCGGCGGCGAGGGGAGGCGGGGCGCTCGCGCTCTCTCCGCGCGCCTTTCCCGCTCCTCGAGCCTGATTGGCTGCGAGGAAGGGGAGGGGGCTTCGAGACAACGGGCGCGCGAGGGAAAAGGGGCGGCGGCGGCGGCGGCGCCCCTTCCCGCTCCCCCCCACCGCGTACAGACTCGACGCCTTCCCTCGTTCCCCTCACGCCGCGGGCGCGCGCGCTGACGGCCGCGTCTTTCGGTTCCCCCCTCCCCGCTTTTTCTCCCGTCCCCCTCCCTTTTAACCCTTTCCCTTCCTTTTCTTTAGGTCTGTCCGCTCCCCCCCCCCTTCCACCGCCCGCTGCTCTTTCCCCCATCCTTTCCTCATCCGGCTCGTCGGTCGGTCAGTCGGGAAGGCAGAGCTCGGCCGTGAGGCGGTTTCTGAGGAGGCTCGCTCTGCAGAACAGCCTCTGGGGGCGAGCGGGCGGGAGCTGGGTGGGTGGGTTGCCTGCCTGCCTGCCTGCCTTTAAAGCCGAGGGGGGAGGGAGGCATTAATTGCTCGCTTCTAAACGAGGGCAAGTCGCCCCTCCCTCCTTCCCCCCTCCCCAACTTTCACGGTTTGGGTTGTGGACTCGCGGGAAGCTCCCCCCCCCCCAACCTCAAAGCGCGCGCGAGGAGGGCGGGGCAGATTCCGTCCACCCGTCTACGCCCCCCCCCTTTGTTTTCAGCCCTACTTCGCAATTTTTCCCAATTATTGATCATGATCACCGGAAATAATCGGGCAGGGTACTAAGGAGGGCGGGGAGGGGAGGGGGGAAAAACACCCCCACCCCCAATCTTTGTTCTTCGGATTCGCAAAGCGGTGGTTTAGCCCTCTTCGTTTTGCTGTAACTTCTCCCCTTCCCCCCTCTCCCACCCCACCCCCCCGTTTGATGTCCCCCCCCTAGTTTATTTTTATTAACCCTCTTTCCCTAATAATCCAGGGAGGGGTCGGAAGACCGACGCATCTCTTTCTCTCCCCCCGACCCCCCAACCCTAAATCCAAAGTGCTGTTCGCAGGAGGAGGAACAGGAGTCGGAAAGAAGCAACCAGGTTGGTCATTCGTGTAAAAGCCGTGCTGCCGACGTGATATTGGCTTCTGACTCATTTTCTGTGTTCAAGATGGGGAACGCACGTGCATATTTTATTTTATAATTCTTTGTCTGAACGCAGGATGCTCCGGCGTTTGTGTCGACGTGCAAAAGCTACCGTGTGGGGAGTATAGTGTATTTTTGCCTTGTGTCATCTTAAAGCCCTTTCTGTTGGACCTTTAAAAAAACATATCTGTTTTTTAACGAACGAACGAACGGTAGCTTGGATAGAAAATACAATATCCTTGCAGACTTGTGTGCTAACGTGCGTTTTGTAGTAATTATTCTGCTTATTCCGTATAAGCAAACTCTGTGCCTGAAACAATGATCTTTGCTTTTCTTAGGGGCTTAACAGTTTTACACATTAATTTGGCTTCACTTCGTTTCTGTATGACAGTAGTTCCGTTTAAGACGTGGGTGTTGAATGCAAGTTTTTACTAACGCCGAGGCACAGATTTTTTCTTTTTAACTGTATCAAAAATGTAAAGCTCTGTTAGGCCAGTTTCTTTCCCCCTTTGAAGTTGCCTTAGGTTACACAGGGCTTTAGTAATTTGAGAGTTTAACCATGTAGTTTGTCTTCTGTTGTACACCACTGTGTTAAGCTTTAAGTGTAGTAAACTAACCTGGATTTTTTCATTCTTTTTTCCTAGATATTGCTGGTGCCAGGTGCAGCTTTTTAAGGGGCCCAGTTCTGAGAGAGCAGAAACACAAGAGGAGTTTACTGTACTTTGAATCCTCAGAACCTAAGATTATTTTTATCAACCTTCATTAGAGAGAGGAGGAATATAAAATCTGTCCCCCCACATTTCTTTACTCTTCAGAGCAGTAGTTAGGCATCACTCATTGGGGTACCAGGATAATACAGTTCACATGACAGTTTCTTTCTTATGGAGGCTCTGTGACCAAACCAAGCTTGAAGAGCTAAAAGGCACTGAGAGGACTTGATTACCTCCCTGGGGTGGGGTGGGGAGAAAGAGAGAAGGTCCCAAGAAGAGCCTCTTTGCACTGAAGGAAGATTGAAGCAACAGTCTCTGGATATTGCTGCTCTTCCCACCCCCAAGCGTTGGGTAAGTTACACTACCATTATTCACTTATTCATTCACTCTGTTCTGTTTCACTCCACCTCCACTCTACTATGTGGTGAAGAGACGTGCCTCAAGATGGTGAGCGTGGTGGTGGTGGGGAAGCAGGGATGACTGTGTGTGTTAGTGTAAAACATTGAAAAGAGGGTTTGTATCTCTTGCCTTGTGCATTACAAGTTTGGGGTTTGTGTGGAAATAGCTGGCACCTGCAAAAAGGAATGCAGACTTAATGGGTGTGGAGAGACTTGTATCATCTCATAAGGGGATGACTCTTAGTATAATGGTACAAAAAATATGGATGAGTTGTACAAGTGAGTGGAAAAAAATCTCTCACACACACACACATCCCAAATGCATGGGAGGATGCACAGAATGAGTTGGAAGATTAAGCAATGTTTTATGGTTCTGCAGTTGGACAAACACAGTAGCTGAAACAGTCCTTTCTCTCCAGACTGGTGTCTTTTGCAAATAAAAAAGGGATGCAGAGTAGTGGTGGTATTGACGTACGGATGCTTTCAAAGAAGTGTGTAGTTTATCACCTGGCTGCAGTGGCTGTTTCTATAATGGAGAGAGGATGAACAGCCAGAATATGCAGCTGTATGCAGGCTTCCCTGGTTGTGTTAACGCTTGCTCAATTTCAAATTGTGCTTCATTTTATGCTTTTAACACCTTGTGAGCCACTTTGGAAGGCATATTCCTGAAAGGAGCCTATAATTAATGAAAGGAAATTCAAATATTTATGTTCTAAGAACCAAAATTTGCTTATACAGATGATGGAGCAGAGTTTTCAACCAATGGGGTTTACAGTATCTGAGATGTGGTTTGGAATTGTATTTGTTTCATTGGGGTGATTCAGAGGCAATACCAAACCATGATTTGGCATTATATGAACAAGCCTGGCTGGGCCCTCAGGCATGTGGACTTGGTTTCTTCTGCTGGATAAGCGTAAATAATTTGCTGGTTTGGGATGAGGTGGCAAACTATGGGTTACCTCATACTAGGAAAGGAGGTTATAAATTGCTGTGCAGAAGGCACTGGAGATGGGAGGTGGAGTTTGTGAGCCTGAGGGACCAGCCAGACTCATGGACGTAATGCCAAGCCATGTTTTGGTGTTATGTCTCAACCAACTCTTTACATGTAAGTTTTTACCTAAGTTTATTGAAATTCTGCACTTGTCCGTTCTTCCTCTGGATCTTCTCATTTTGAAGTAGTATTTTAGCTAAATTATTTTTACATTTACACAACTGGGCTGTAATTTAAATGAATATGTTGTAAGGAACATTAATTCCATTATGTGGCAATTAACCTTTTGGGTCCTGTCCACTGTGGTTAGTGGGATTCAATCAGGCTGACTTCTATTCCCAGCCATATAGGAAGGGTTGCTCCTGCCTAGGGGCCAAACTACATGTCATATTTGTCATGTAATTGGTCCTTGAGAGCAAGCCTTTTCTTCTAGAAATTCCTAGTGTTCACCCCCATTCCAGATTGAGAATATGACATTAAGGAGCTTTAACCCTTTTCTATGGTCATGGTACGGATTAGCTCACACCATCTTCAGATCAGGGCCCCAGTAGAGGTCAATGGATTAAATTCTCCTGAGCTCATGGCAGGATCCTTGTCCAGATTGCCCCCTCCCCACGCTGGCAATATGTGAAGGAAAAGTCTTGTGCCCAAGATTTGAAAATCAAGTCTGGTTTGGCTTTAATCATCATTGTGGCTGAAGATTTTCCTGAAGAAAGTTTGTATCATGAAATAAACAATTTAGCTTTTTAAAGTAATCTTAAAAATAATTTTCTAGTTTCACACCAAGAAACAAAATCCAGTGCCAGAGATATTAAGGGGTAGGGCCACCCAGACAAGGGCTGTTCAGTTCTGCCATTGAATTCTATGGGATGTAGTAAACTATTTTGGACATAGTTGAATCAATGCCCTGCGGTCAACAGAAAAGGTCCCCCCCCCTCCAGTGGTATCCTTGAGTGCATCACTTTACATGGGCCATAGTTCTATGGTAGAGCTCCTACTTTGCGTACTGACTGTCCTAGGTTCAATCATTTGCATCTCCACAAATGCAGGTGATCAAAAAGATCTCTGCCAAAGGCCTTAGCACTTCTTCAAGAGCAGCTCCAAACCAAGTGTGCGTAACGGCTCGAGGCCCATCCCATTTCTAGGACTAGGTAGCCACAGGCAGATCTTACAATCTCTCAATGCTCACTTTTGTGTATGCTCCATTATTGGACTCCATATACTCCAGTTCTGCTACTTAGAGACTTTAATTTGTATACCTACCTAAGTTGTTTCTCTTGCTTCCTCTCCCTGTTAAATAAATCTCAGCTCTTACTGCTCCCATCCTCTTAAATTGTGCACTGGTTGTTTCCCTACTTACTTTCAGAAAGCCTGGGGGCTAGAGATACTGCACACTATTTAGGTGGGCTCTGGTGTTCATACCTTCGTCAATCTCATTACTGTTTGAACCCAAGTTTCATAGTTCCCTCCACAAAAAGGAATTGCTGGTAGCAGTGCATTTTTCATAACAAAATGGGGTGCTGGTACTCATATATTGATAAAAGTGCCGTGGGCGCCAGCACAAAATGGCTGCCATATGCAGCAAAAAAAAGAAAAAAGAAAAATGTTGCAAAAAAAGCCCTTCTAGTAGAGAAATCAGGGGTTATGCTTAATTCACCCTGATAGGTGACTAGCTGTCATTCATTCCCATGGACACTCAAGGATAATATTGCAGCAGAGACAAAACCTCTCTACTAACCCAGACAATTGGGCTGAATTTCATCCACAATACCCCATTGTAGTTACACAAAGTCTCTGCAGAGACCCATTGCCCCATCACCAGAGTCTCATGTTCTTATGGCTATCCAGTGTATACTATGCCTATTGTGATGGATGTTGTGCACTAGTGTTGTACAGTAGTTTATATTGACTAATTCAGGATGCATTCTAGTGATAAAACATTCTTTCTTACTTTGATAATAGTCTCTTGCAGTATACAAGACAGCATTAAAACATGTTTGTTTAAGCAAGCCTATCCAGACATGTAAAAACTTAAATGTGTTTTAATCTGTTTTTTTGTTGATTCTAGTTAGGTTTGTTTTACGTTTTTCTAAAACACCTGTTTTTAACTGTCTTTTGTTGATATTTTTAATTGTTATTTTTTGTAAACCACTTTGAGGTTTTGCTACAATCAAGTGGTTTATAAATTTTGTTAAAGAATAAAATAGTGCAATGCAATGATGTAAAGGCTACTGTAGATTATTGTTTTCTTAACAGGATATTCATGCCATTTTGCTTCCCCCTCAGTGGAAAGGAAAGATACAAAATATACATGGAAACTCACAAAAATAAATAAATTACTATATTCAGTTCGAGTAGATGCTTGTGAATCCTGGAACTGCGTCTGTCTCAAGTAGTAGGCAAAGAACTAATGCTGATTTTTCTCCTCACCCATCCCCCCTATTTTTCCACAGACAATGAAGGAATAGGTCACAATCACAAATCACATGCCTTAGATCTCATACCAAGTGGTGTACATTTTATAAATTGCCTTCAGGTCTAGTGGTGAAAAACATCTGGAAACATCTTACTCATTTTTATTGCCTGGCATAGAAAAGGAATACTTGATTTTATTTTATTTGGTAAAGAAATTACAGCTTAGGGCTGCTGCATGTTAAGGTTGAGAAACAATACTATGTGATTGAAAAATTGCTGCAAGAGAGCTCCATATAAAATCTGTTTGGTTGCATTCTTGCTGCAAAATCTCACACTGCAGACAGAAGAAGTTAGGTCAGAACAACAGTTCCTGCAGGTATAGGGTGGTATATAAATTCAATAAATAATAATAAAAACAGTTCCTTCTGTTCCTGTCAGTTAAAAGGAGACAGGAAAATGGCTTGATGGTCCACAGAGACTAGGTTCTCCAATGTTTGCACCATTGTTGTCTTAAAGCAGACCAATTATATGGGGATAGGCTTGAAAATGTTTCTTGTATATAAAAAGCAGATTTGCAGGTCTCTAGCTACTCTTAAGATGGCCATTTTGATGTATTTAATGCTCACCTTATAAGGACACGGGTGGCACTGGGACGCGGGTGGCACTGTGGGTAAAAGCCTCAGCGCCTAGGGCTTGCCGATCGAAAGGTCGGCGGTTCGAATCCCCGCAGCGGGGTGCGCTCCCGTTGCTGGGTCCCAGCGCCTGCCAACCTAGCAGTTCGAAAGCACTCTCGGGTGCAAGTAGATAAATAGGGACCGCTTACTAACGGGAAGGTAAACGGCGTTTCCGTGTGTGCTGCGCTGGCTCGCCAGAGCAGCGATGTCACGCTGGCCACGTGACCCGGAAGTGTCTGCGGACAGCGCTGGCCCCCGGCCTCTTGAGTGAGATGGGCGCACAACCCTAGAGTCTGTCAAGACTGGCCCGTACGGGCAGGGGTACCTTTACCTTTACCTTTACTTATAAGGACTAGACTGCAAGAGATAATTGCCTTATCCAGTGCAGTCAAAATTCCACAATAGTGCTCTTATTGGCTTGTGATAGCAATAAGCCAGGCATTTTAGAGACCAGGTGACCATTTGTGTTGTGATCTTTTGATAGCGAACTGCTTTTTATGTTCACATTCAGCTTTGTACTCCAAGCACGAGATCACAGCCTTAAACTCTTTAATCCAGAGAATACATAACACTCACTGACCTGAACTTTCAACAACTAATGCGACTTTGAATTTATGCAGTACCTATAAAAAGTTCTGAAAGGTGGGAGTGGAGTCACTATTTAGCTAGTTGGATTATTATTGTGGAATAACTAATAACTAATTCTTCAGTAGGTGTCAATAGTGCGACCTAGGTGTGTATTAACCTCTGAAGACAACTTTGGGTTTGGTCCCCATATGTTTCTGCTAAACATATTAGTATAGTGAGCAGCATTTTTTGCATGAAGATTATATCTGGGAAGTGTTGTATGCAAATGCAAGAAGGTATCTCTCC